AAAACACAAGGTATATATAAAAATTCAGGTCTGTGTATACTTGCTATAAATGAAGAATTGGATATTGAAATTTAAAAGTTATGAAGGAGTACAAAAGACCTAGAAAAGTAAAAAGAAAAAAAAAGTGTTGGAAGACATTTATTACCTAATTTTAAGACTACCTAATTTTAAGACTTTCTACAACTACAGTAATCAAGGCAGTGTTGGTATAAGGAAAGACATATAGATCATTGGAATAAAACAGAGAATCTAGAAATAGAACTATGCATATATGGCCCACTGAGTTTTGAAAGATTATTTAACATTAACATTTTATAGAACATAAATTCAATTCAAGACCAGAGGAAAAGATAGTGTTTTCAGCAAATGAAACTAGAACACCTGGTATCCATATGCAAAACATTAACCTCAACCCTTTATTTCCATACATAAAAATAACTTTAAAGGATCTATGAATCTCAATATGAAAGACTAAAACTATAAAAGTTTAAGAAAAATTATAAGGGAAAATGTTCATGAATTTAGGGTAGGCAAGAATTTCCTAGGATACAAAAAACATGATTATAAAAGAAAAAAATTGATGAGATTCCATCAAAATTTAGAACTTTAAATGATATTGTTAAGAAAATGAAAAGTAGTCATTAAACAAACCGTATTTATAATACATATAACCTCTGACCAGAATATATGAAGAACTCTTACAGCTCATTAATAGACCACCCAATTGAAAAGTAGACACAAGAAGATGATAAATAGCCAGTACAGCACAAGAAAAGTTGTGGAACACTAGAATCAGAAAAATACTAATCAGTACCATAACAAGATCCTATTATACACTCATTAGGGCAATGAAGTTAAAAGTTTTAAAAGAACAGATGTCAGCTTAGGTGTGAACCAGTTAGAACTGTCTGATACTGCTAATGTGAATGTAAAATGAGAAAACCATTTTGGAAAACAATATACAAATTTTTTGTGTTACTGTTAAGAACCAACAGTTTCATTCTTAAGTTTTTACTTAAGAGGAATGAAAACACAATAGATTTGTACATACAAGTTGACTGTCCCTTATCTGAAATTCTTGTGATGAGAGTGTTTCAGATCTGGGTTTGAAATCCACTTGATCTGCAAAGAGGATAGCTACTCCTGCTTTTTTTT